AGTCATTCCATCTTTCAAATAAATACTTGACTATGCAAAAGAATTTTAACGATAATATTTTTATAATATTCAGTCAATAGCATTCATTATTTTCAATTATTAAGAATTTATAAAACTTTTAATTACGGATGCTTCGTAGCCACTCGTTAGTTTTAATTTTTAAAGAAATAAGGATGTAAGGAATAAGGAGAACAATATAACTTGAACTTCCTTTATTTGAATAAATTTGGGTAATATGAACCGTGATGTAGCGATGCTCGTACAAAAACCAAAGACAATTTCTTCACGCGTTCTTTTTCTTTCTCGACTCGTGACTAATATCAACGCAATTATCTGACAAGTGTGAACTATTGCGTGTTATTCTAATTAATCAGAACTCTGACAACGACGACGACAAGAGCATACGGATTTCGCAACCGTTCATATTTCCCGTGTTGTGTACGTATAAAATATTTATCAACTCTCACAACCAGAAATGAATAGTCAAAGAAGTACCATTTCTCCCGTACATACAAGTAAATAAATAAACATAGAAATAAGAAAAAAAAAAAAGAAGAAGCTCGGCCATAAGTAATCTCTTTATACCGTGTATATAATTTCATTTTTTTTAACGCTCTGTGTATGTGTGTGTATATATGTATATAAATCGTCCGTACCCTTATACATATATAAGTATTTATCGTTTACAAAAGCTACTGTGTCAGTATCACTTGCCTTCGGTCACGCTTCGGGCATATTTTTATTATTATTATTATTTTTTTTTTTTTTAAGTAAATCGTATGAAATTAAATGTGTTACAATAATTGTTTGAACAGCGTGGATCGTTGGCTTATTTCTTTTTAATCAATGTTCGCTTAAACCTGTATTATAATTAATCACCTTGTACCATACCAAACCGATAGAACTTCTTGATTGTCTAATATTCTGAATAACTGTAATAATATATACGTATAACTATGCCTTACAGTCCTTACACATTCGAATGGATCTCCTCGCCAATAGTACGATAAGGGGCGATTGAGTATTTCTGCACGGTGCATCTGTCGCAACGCCCCGTTACAATATGTATATAGAAATATAACATTGATAGTACTAAAAATAGAAACATTTTTTCCTTTTTCCTTTCATTCTTTCAACTTTAAATCATACAATTATAATGTAACCGTTTACAGAGTACGCACAAAATCAAATGCCAGCACCCTAATTAACGCGGCGTAATTTGTTTCAAAAATCGCGTACCAGGCGTATCTTAAAAGATTTCACGTTACAATTAAATTCCCATTTTTTTCTTTTCCTGCTGTTTGTAACACTCGACTTAGAAAAAGGAGACGAACATGTAAAAGCAATCTTAACGTGAAAATACTTAACTTACGAATAGAATTATTATACGTATACGTCTTAGATTTTAATTACTCAAACATTAAGAATTATTCGAAAAATGCATAAAAGAACGTTGTCAATTGTACGCAACATGTATGTACATCAAACATGTTGTGAAAGGTAAAAGCGAAATTTATATAAAAATTTTTCCTCGTTCATTTATAATGAGAAATGCTGTTTCAACAGAAAGGAATAGCTTTTGTTAACACTCGGTTTGATTATTTTTCGAATATCTTACTTTAAATGCAAGGTAACTTAACGAATCGTCTATTCTAAATAATTTGTCGATTAGTCAAGATAAATAAATAATATTTTTTATACATTCGGATAAGCTAACAGATTTTCTTCACGTTACTTAATAAAAACGGCCAAAATCATACGATAAATTTACTTTGTATTAACATTTTAATGTAAATGCTATAGAAAATATGTGTGTACAGAAGTTTTTTTTTTTTTTTTTTTCTTTTAATACCCAGAAACTGCAAATTAATTTAAAATATCAGTAACTTAAATTCATAATATCACATGGTGCTGCCATCCAATATTGTAGCTGTAAAAGTGTGTACAGAAAGATGGCTATGTTATAACCTAGGCCACAGAACTGCGTCACTTATTGGCTATGAAGTATTTCAATATATTATTCGGTTTTGGTTTACTAGTCGTCGGCCACGGACGTGTAACTTCTCTTTGTATATCAATGGGTAAGGATTTAAGAACCGCTGCGTCGATTTTCGGCGACAACTGCATGGGCGATGAAGGGCTCAGTCTAAGGTCCGCCATTTCGTTGCTCGGAGATTCTCTGCGTCCACTTAACCATACTTCCAACCTGGTCTTTTTCGGCAGAGGTTCGATTTCGTTCAATATATCGTCATCCACACTCTGATTATTAGCACCTACAGGTTTTGAAATTGGAGACGAGGTGGTACTCATTGCAGAACCATCGTTACTATCTTGATTTGTACTCATCGGTGATCCAAGACTAATATCGGATACACCTTCTTCTGAACTTATGTCTAAGACGGATTGAACGGCCACTTGTTTTCGTAGAAAAGACGTAATACTATTCTTCCCAGAAGATCTTTCCTCAAATTTTGTGAAAGCAACTCCCAAAAGAGTCAAATGGAATGGCTTAGAGACATCGACCGTGCGATGAAAGAGTTTCATTGCTAGTGCCAACATTTTAGCGTGGTCGTAAATACCAGATTTCGAAGATGGCAGTAGATGTTTTGGTAAAGCACATTGTCGAGTTTCTCTTTTACCAGAAGATGGCTTATTGAAATCGTGCTTTCTGACTGTTAGTCTCATAGCAACTGGGATTCTTCCATCTTCCATGGCTAACTCTGTTAATCTTCTTAGAAGCACTCCTAATCGCGATTCCACTTCGGCTACTAAAGAAACGCTCTTGAAACCATCCTCCAACCCTATAGATTGTTTCTTTCCCGTTGGTTTTACAACAGTCTCGTCAACGCCTTCGACGTTATCTTTTAGTTTTCTAGCCAAATCAAGGCCAATTTTTCCCTCCAAAGTTTCCAAAGGCGTTTTGCGCAAATCATCTACCGTTTTTATGTTATTAGACATTAATAGCTGAGTAGTTTTTTGGCCAACGCCGGGTATTTTGGACACGGATCCTATGGAGGACAATAACATAGGTCCACTGCATGGAAATATTAATGTTTGCTGGTTTGGTTTATGTAATGATCCCACTAATTTTGCTAAGAGCTTATTATGTGCTATTCCAGCACTACATGTGACTTGTAGTTCTTTGTAAACCTTTTGCCTTATCTCTGCTGCAATTTTAGAAGCAATGATCAATCTAGTATGACAACCACATGGACATTCTTCATCAGCTGGACCAAACACCTCACCAACTGGAGCTTCATCCTCCATAGAAATATTCATATTTATTTCAGACTCATTTCCAGAATTCATATATTTTTGTACAATAGATGTTACATCCAGAAAATTGTCATCAAAACCCAATCTCTCAACTAACGGAGTAAATTGATGTAGTACTTCTAATATTTTGTCGGAAAAGTGACGATAATTTGTTAGGTCTTCGCCATTCACCAAGGTTAGTTCTGGACATAACTTTAAAGCTTCCTGAACTGACATACATTTTTTAATGCCATATTCACGTGCCAAATAGTTGCTGGTTACTACCAAATTTTTTTGTTGTACTCCCAAAGGTTTACCATCAAATTCTGGATGTCTTAACATCTCCACTTGAGCATAAAAACAATCAACATCTATGTGAATGATGGTTCTTGGATGTCGTATAATTGTATCAAAATCAACGGAATCCATTGAGGTCAATTTATAAATTATGTAGTACACTATTACACATAGAATCTCTATCACATAAATTGTCTCATTTAATGTGTTAACATAATACAATCTGTAACAATGAAATCAAGTTGTTTATAAACAAATACCATGTCGTTTTAATTGCTAACAATATTGAATAAAAATTGATTGTATTACCTTTTTAAAAACTGATTTGATAAACATTCTATTTTCAAATATAAATCACAATTTTAAAACTTGAAAAGTATAATTATTTCTCCTTCATTAACAACTTTAGCAGAAATTTTTATAAGTTCGGAATATATATAGTTGTTTACTAGTCGATATGTTTAACTATATACATATATCTAGAAAATAGGTTAAGTTGAACAGTCAAAACATCAAACAGTCTGCTTCCTTTAGCTTACACGTAACAGCTTATAATTGTGAAAACTAGTTCACATTTTTGATTCTTAGACTGATTAGTATAAAGTATACGTGTTAAATTATTATTTTTCCTTATTACTTGTTCTAATTTTCTCTAGTTTGTAAAGTAAGGTTACCATTATTTAATACTTATACGGAAACTACGCCGTTTCACAACCATGAAGAATCCTAACACGTATATAGATGTATTTTTATTCTCTAGAAATCCGTTAGATTACTGAATAGATATTAGAATGTGGTTGTAACTATTAAATTCATGAAATGATTGTTTCACTTGTGAAAACCGCGCCAACTTCTTATACGTTTCATCGATGAACTATGTTTTTCCACGGCTGATGAGTTTCGCTGGTAGTACGAAACAAAATTATCGTAAAAACTAAATAGAAACTTGTTTATAAACTGTAATGCGACTAATTTATTTTTCACATGGTAGCCATGTTTTTGAATTGTCATAGGTATCTTCACATAAATGTATTTATAATTACATTCTAAATATTGGTGCATACAAATACTCTAAGATAGATGCACGCATGGATATTTCCTGATGTAAGTACATTTTTCCATCGAAAAATATACAGATTTTTCACCAAACAACATTTTCCACTTAACAGATTCTATTTCCACGAAAATGAAGCTTTATAAAATGATTTTAATCTGCATCTTTGACTTATTTATCATACAAAATCACCTCCATTCACTTGAACTATATATTACGGGACACCGCGTATAAACGCGTAAGGGTTCATTTTCATAGAATCTTCATACGGGACAGCCAATGGTATTTAAGTTAACATAGGGAAATCACTCACGTGACAAGATAAAATCTCAATAAAACATATTATTTCCCTAGATATTGCAAATAATCTAGTGGAAATGTATTACGCATGTAGTAAATCACTAAAAAAGATAGATTCAGCAGAAAATTTATGAGTTTTATATTGTATTATGCTTCCATCGTATGATCGGGTTGCGTTATCGTAAGGTGTATTTAAATATAACAAGAACTTGCTGAAGGATTCGAAAGATCACTTTGTATAAGCAAAAGTGCATCACGTTCCTGCAGCAAATTATATTGAATTCGTCTGATTTTTAGTGATATATTGTTTATTAGTTGCAAAGGGATACAAATTGTTTGGTTGGGTGTTCATAATCTAATAGATGAAGATTCAAATATTCTTTTTATGCGAAGTTAAAGAAGATTGGAAGAAATTTGCGTAACTTGAATGCATACATTTAATGTGAAACATTAGTGTTCTTTTACTAGCCTGCCTTGAGTGCTCATTTAGAAAATAACATCTATACCGTAAATCTGTCGTATTACATAAATTTAAGTTTGGCTTTAAATTAACTGCAAGCAGCCATCTTGTAAAAATCTTTTTCGTATTTCGAACGAACAAAGTGTTCAATATCGATAATACCTTTATCTTATGCGATTCAACTGAGAATTTTCATTAAAAATTAAGCTTTTCTAGGAATGTCAGATTTTTCAGAACAGTGTTGGTATTAAGATGTAAAAATCAATTTCGCGCCATAAAACAGTATTATTCGATAGCTGCATTTAAGAGCAAGAAAAATATAAAGACGAGTTGCGATACAAACAACTCGAATAAGAAAAGGGTAGGCGAATTTTTCTGTTGAAAGTTGGAAATAATACAGGCAAAACGGCACCACAAAAAAAATCACATAAGAAGATGGCGGAGACCAAAGAATTAGAGGTGAGTTAAATATTAAAAGTGGTGTAGTGTAAGTTAAATTACGTGCGAAATTTTATAGAAAAGTGAGCAGGTCTGCATTACGAATTTGTCGTGGTTATATCCGGGTTATCAGCAATTTATGATGTGCATCAGTAAATTATATTAGTAGACGCTTAGTACACTGTCCCGGAAGCTTGATTCTGTCGCTGTTATAATTATGTTCTTTTTTCAGTGAAATATTTAGATTAATTAATAGAATTTTTTCTTTGGTTATACTGTGCTTACAATTACGTTGCATTTATCGAATAATGCTTAGAAAATACGACAATATCTTCGTTTTCATAGGTAACCCTAATTCTTTTTTTCATTTCATTCAAAATATCGCTTAGAATTTTTTTATCATTTTCACCTATCTTCATAATACGAAGTAAAACACTCTGTTCATATGCAAATATGTTGTTAGATGATACTTATTATGGCTGTAAAACTGAATTTTGTTTTGTTACCTTATGGAGTTTTATATTGTTAATACAATATGGTATTGATGAAAAGTATTTATGTGATTTTTGTAAGATGAATAATAAATAAAAATTTAAAGTATAACTTTTATGTCTAGCATTTTAATTTGTTTTTAATTTCTGTAATTATTTTTTTTTTACTAATAAAATATGTTTATCATTTAATTGCACACTACTTGTTACAACAATAGCACCTTTTTACAATATTGATTTTGCTTATAGTTCTTATATTTCTATGCAAATGTTTTTAGAATCATTGCATATAGGATGGTTATAATGTATGTGTATTGCAATTTTATGATTACAGAATATGGTATTGAGTTTTCGAGTATCTGAACTACAGATGCTTCTCGGTTTTGCTGGTAGAAATAAATCAGGTAGAAAAAACGAATTACAAGCACGTGCATTAGAATTATTAAGGTTGAGATCCAATCCTGTACAACTTAAAATACGTGAATTATATAAAACTATACAGTAAGTATAATGTTACTATTACTGCAAATATGTACATAAATTTTGCTATATTATAAGACTGACTATTTCTATGTATTAGATTTCTAAGTATGTTATTTCCTTGTGTATTTTAATAAAGTATTAAACAATGTCCTGTTTGTTATGTATACTATAACATTTTGTTGTTATTCAAGTATTACAAACATCAATAGATTCTTCAGTTTAAATACTATTTCTATTATTTATTTAATAATTTTTCTTAGAGCCGATCAATTGGCTGCACATCAAATGTATGGTCAGACAGGTGGTTCTGGAGAACCACAAATTGATCAAAACATGCATTCCAGAAATTATTACACTAGGTAAATATATAAGATAAAATAGCAAGCTGCATTAACTATGAAAAAACAGTTATGAAAGAATGAGTGTTTTAATATAACAATTATGTTTTTATAATATTGCTTGTTATTTTTAATTAATATAAAGACAAGCAATCAGTCAACAACAACAGTCACAGTCTGCAGTTTCTAGTGGAAAAGATCTACCACCTGCGCATCAAGCATCTCTACCTCAGGCACCTAGAGCTAATCCAATATATCAGTCCACAGGATATACCAGTGTAACACCACAGGTAAGTTAACAGAATGTTGTACAGAGCATTTTGATATTATATGTGACTATAAATGTCTTAACATTTCAGCAAACATCCACTGCACCTTATAATCCATATCCATATCCACCAAAAGTTTTACCATCTCCATTACAAATACAACCCAGAAGTCAATACCCTGTTCATCCAGATGTTAGATTCAAGAAACTACCATTCTTTGATTTACTCGGTGAATTGCTGAAGCCATCTAGTCTAATGCCCCAAGGATCTATGAGACTTCAGGAGAACACATTTATGTTTCATTTAACCCCGCAACAATCAACTGATGTATCTAGCTCGAGAGATTGCCGCGCAGGAAGTAAAATGGATTATATTGTTCAGGTATATCTGGATGACTTCTTAAGACTTCTTAAAAAATTCATGCTTTTATTCTTTGAAAATTCTAAAACTTATGTTGTGGATGTTACAGATACAAATGCGATTTTGTTTACAAGAAACGTCTTGTGAACAGGAAGATTGTTTTCCGCCGAGTATTGCTGTAAAAGTTAACGGGAAATTGTGTCCTTTACCTGTAAGTGAAAAGATTATGGTGTTGTTACATTTCTGTTAAAACTAAAATGACACAATTAATTTTCGCATATTATAAAAGGTAAGTTGCAAAAAACAATCTTTTTTTATTTATTTTTTTCCAGAATCCTATACCTACAAATAAGCCAGGTGTAGAACCAAAGAGGCCACCAAGGCCTGTTAATATTAGTCCTTTAGTTAAATTATCTCCTACTGTAGGAAATCAAATCCATGTCACCTGGTCGGCTGACTATGGAAGACGTTATGCAATTGCGATATATCTAGTTAGAAAGCTTTCAAGCACAGAATTATTGACTAGATTAAAAAATAGAGGTGTTCGACATTCAGATTATACAAGAGGTTTAAGTACGTAACTATACCAGATGTTTATATTTTCTTAATGTTACAAATAAATACCATTAAAAAACAATGTCCCCCATAGTTAAAGAAAAGCTTAACGAAGACGCAGATAGCGAAATAGCGACAACGTCGTTAAGAGTATCGTTAGCTTGTCCGTTAGGAAAGATGCGAATGTGCACACCATGTCGTGCGTCAACATGTTCACATTTACAATGTTTTGATGCTTCGTTGTTCCTTCAAATGAATGAAAGAAAACCTACGTGGAATTGTCCGGTTTGTGATAAACCGGCATTGTACGATAATCTAGTTATCGATGGATATTTCCAAGACGTATTGAATTCTAAGAAGTTACTCCCGGATGTAAATGAAATTCAGTTGTTGCAAGATGGTTCGTGGGAGAATTTGGTTTTGAAGAAGGAGAAAGATAAAGACAAAAGTGAAACGAAAGTTATTATAAATTCGGAGAATCGGAAAATTGATGTGGATACAGTGGATCTTGGTATGTTTATATTTTTATTTTCATTTAATACAGGAATAGCGGTAGTTGTATATAAAGTTTCTATTAAATGCATCTAATTCTAATTTACACGGAAATCGTTACTATTTATGTAGATGAAAGCAATCTCACACCCCCAAAGGAAAAGAAACGAGCTGTTATCATCGATTTAATATCAGATAGCGATGACGATGACGAACATGCTACATCAACACAAAGTACAAAGAAAATAGCTACTGGTACATCTTCACCAAAAAAGTCCCAAGCTAGTTCAATTAGCAGTACAAGCGAATCACCAGAATTGATGATTATTGATTTAGAATAGGATTTTTTATATTGATTATTATAATGAAATTGCCAAAATTTTAAATTATGTAAGTTTTGTACAGAATAAATACCAAAACTTTCATTAGTTATGCAGTTATCAAATTGAAAAATTACTGTATAAATATGAGTAAATTCTTGACATTTTTACTTTTGATACTTTAAATTTGATAGAAAATAAGATATATAGTGTTCTGCTTTCAGTTGTAATAACTCACTATTCTTTCATTTCATTATGTTTTATATTCTCAAAAAATAAGATACATTTCTTTTGTTATCGAACCCGAATCGTTATGTATCATCGAAAAGAATAAAATCAACTTTTATAATATAAGATTTCTTATTAATTTTAATTTATAAATAAGAGAGCAAAAGTATAAGATACAACCTATTTTTATTGCAAATATTTCTAGTAACAGTATTTCTTGGTGAATAGTGTTCTTAAATTATTTATTAAATTTAGATATTTTCGTTGATTGTTTATCGAAGTTTCTTACTTGATCAGGGTTAAGAAAATTATTTAGACTGTATTTGCTATAGACTTTGTTTTTATAAAAGTCAACCTTATGAAATGAAATAGGTAAAATTGATACAAATAGGATATTAACAACGCATGTAATATTTTTGTGTTACAACTTTTATACATAAATCGTATGTTCCATGTATCTCAGAGTTTATTCTTCTTGCAAAATCACGTCTAGATTTGGATACATATAATTGCGAAGTGTTATTCCAGAAAGTTGTTGGTCCACAGGTTCTCTTGTATCATATAAACTTGGAGCTTGAAATATTATACCAAGCGTTCCTCCGATACACGCTAATGTAAAAACCCAAAGAAAAAGTCTATCTAAAACCATAGCTACAAATTTCCAATCTTCTATAACCTGAGAATGTAAAAAAACAGATTTTATTGGTAATAAATTTAGTATTAAAATTGTATTAACACGAAAAGATGTATGTATATATTTTTCAAGAATAGAGTTATAATATTAATTGTATCACTTAACCCTTTAACTGCTGTTTAGCACACCCGATCGCTCTAATTTTAAATTATATTATTGAAGTGATATTCTATTTTAGAAGATTTTTTTTATTGTATTTATTTTATTTTTATTGTAGTGGTATATAAGCCACAGCCGCTATTTGATATTGGCAAAAATTAACATATTTATATACCACAACCGCCTCTGGCTATAATTTTAGTATGTGGTTTATAAACCATACCTACAGTTAAAGGGTTAAGAAAAGTATCAAAAGTAAAACTAAAATTATACCTAAAAGATATAGTATTTAACTTACTTCGTTATCCTTATCTGCATTCTTTATATGTTGAGCAATAAAACGCACACCCTTGAGAGCTGATATGACGTCTGGGGATAAGTGTCTCGGCATCGTATTTTCACTGTCAGTGACTGCAAGAACATATCTTTATGTACTTTAATAAAGTATTTCATGACATTATTTTATAATATCATCAGTCGTGTCGCTGGTTAATTCTAATATAATTCATCGTTATTGTACAATATACTATGTATGTTTGGTATCTTGTAAACGCAGAAATATTGTAAACTCATAGTTTCATTTCAACGCGAAGTTGTGTCATAATAAATTTCACGAATAAAGTTTTATAACAAACTGTGCCTTTTTCTTATAATAATATAAAGATTTACCGGATGCATGTGGAATATGACGAGCGTCATCCTCTCTTATATTCTTGTACTGGGAGGTGACGCTTTCAAATCCATCTGGACTTCCTTTTAATTCCAAAGGGTAGTCGCTGACGCTATCATAAAAACTGTAACAATTATTTCTGAAACGTCAAGCATTCTATTTTAAAATGATTACCTAAAATCTATTTCATTAGTATATCCACTATCCATGTACGTGTCGTCGTATTCTGGGGTCGAATACGGTGTTCGACGCATCATTAAAATTCGCGGCATCCAATTTAAGAATACTTGTCTGACCCATGGCGACATATTGTGCGTGGACGGGGATCTATGTAAGAAAATGTTTAGTTAATAATATTCTACAAATGGTACGGCACTATGGAATATAAATTACCGGAAATGAACATTCAATACGCATACAGTGATCCATATCGACAAAGTGACTAAGATCATAGTGAATAACAAGTATTTTCCTAAAAGTGGAATGGCTAGCGATGTAGGGGGTATAATTTCCGCTAATAATAAAAAGAACACCGTCAATGAGAGTAAAATGGAAGAACACAGCGATACCTGAAACATATCAATTTCTTCATAAATGTATAATCTTTGAATTTGTTCAATTTACTTACTTTTTCACCTGAGTCGCTTGGAAGGTAAAAGACAAGCACCGTAAGGAACGTGATACCCACGCAAGGAATGATCAGATTGACTGTATAGAATAACGTCTTCCTCCGCATTGTGATATTAAATGTGATATCTGTGTGTTTTATAAATAAACAATTATGCATTTTACATTATCGCTATCAATACTGTATAACAAAATTTGTTTACCAGAATAGGGCTCCGTGCAACAGGGATAATACTCTTCGTTCCTCGACGCTGGTACTTCTAAAATGTCCCATTCTACTGACAAATAAAAGTCGCTCAAGTCTATCCCTGTTGCAACTAAGTTGCTACCAGGCTCTTGTTTCATATGTTTAAGATCCACCTGTCGGTAAAGGTCTTTACAAAGCATATTTCCGGCATATAGTACTAATGCGAATTACTTGTACTTCTAACTCGTTTTTAACTGATTCTCTCTAAACAAGTGTTGGTTTAATAAGATTTCGTGATTATAACCTGAGCGCCATTATATGTCCAAGAACCGAATTTCATGATGCATGATTGTTCGTCAAATGGAAAGTATTCCACGTTAATTTCGCATGATGATTTATAGATCGCTGGTGGTTTCCAGGATACTTCACCGGTGTACTTTAAGGTTGCTTTTGTCATAAGCGTCACTTCGTAATTGCCATCGGCACTAAAAAGAAAGATAAATATATCAATTATTTATTATTTAATATGTTTATAACGTTTCAACAACCGCGTACTTATTGTATAAGACGATATCTGGCAGCCAAATATTTTCGGAAGGCACGTATAGCATTTCCACGCCGCCGTAATCTTCTGGTTCCCATCGTAGTTTATAATCAAACCATTTCTGCAGACACACAAATAGATCAATATATAAAATACTTATGCTTCTTTTATTTAAAAGCTGAGATCTTACCTGTTCCACCCAGACATTCGTAGTCATCACTTGATTTTTCAGATTCTGCAAATAAAGAAGGATGTAATTATTAACGTCAGTAGTAAGTTTATTAAAACAATAATAGATTTGTAATTTTATACCATTTCGATTAATTGAGATAGCTTTAACCCGAGCCAAACTGTTAAGGTTTCAGTGTTATTGATGACAGGGCGGATAAGTCTGTTATAGTTCGACAGTAAATCATCGTAAAGCCTTTTCGTATCGGGATTTGCCTCAAAAGTCTTCGTTCCGGCAGTACCTGAATGAAACATGCATCTTTTCTGTCATAATTTTCATTTTTTTAAAATAAAAAAGCAATCCAGCCTGACGTATCAAAATAAAGAATGAAACATATTATTCATAACATGTAGAAACAATAGACTTACCGTATATGATATTAAGAGTATTAAATATAACACTGATCGTCAATATTCGCATTTTAATTTATTCTATTTACAAATTTGTATAGAGTTGAGTTGGTAAAGACCACTCCCCGTATGAAAAACGTTCATTTATCGCCTCCACACACAATGGCTTTCAAGTTAACCATGTTAAACACGAAACGCGAAGAACACACTAGATATTTATTTTACTGGTGACAATTGGGAGGTATAATTAGTGGAATATGAATGTTCTGCATCTCACAGGAGCAAAATCGATATCCGAAGTTAGCGCCATGACAGATCCTTCCGCTTACACTTCTCACCCGCTTCCACTTCCTACTCCTATTGACTCATCTGCGCATGCGCGATGGCGGCGCGCGCAGCCATTTAGCACCGCGCATAAATTCTGCGCATCGGTTAGTACAGTTCGGTGCGCAAGCGTCCCTCACCTCCCGATTTCAACCGGCGTCTTATACGATTTCTGAAGTTTTAAACCATGAAAATCGAAGTTGCATGTATCATAAAAGGTAACTAGAGTAACTATTATTCTTTATTTGCATAAATGTACTGATTCAAAGGCAAATGTTAATGTATTTGATGATTTTTGGAAAGATGATTTGTCGTCGACATTCTGGTATTCACTTGCTTCGTCAGCTATTGCCCTCTACACCAATTCGTGGCAGAATTTTCGAGCACGTGCAACGACTTGATAGCTTAGAAAATGATTTTGAAAGGATTCTTATAAGGATAAGGTATTTTATATGAAGTTTTTATTTATTGCAGGCTTATTACAGATAGGGTTAGGAAATCTTTTCTGTAGGAAATATCTTTTAATAGTACGTGTGAATCTCCACAAAATGTGGCGCGTATTTTTCCAATATGGCGTTGCCACTTTTTTCAAACTAGTTTCAGTTCCTTTTTTTCTAAAATATGAAATTATATTGTTCTTTGTAAAGAAGTTTAACTTGATTTCTGATCTAGTAACATAAAGTCTAACTTGATTTTATTATTGTAATAAGTGCAAACTCTAAAATTGTTCATTAATCGTAAGTAAAATCAATCCCTGTAGAAAAGAAAGTAAGCATTGTCAAGGATAACCTATTTCACGTTTTAAGCAAGGAAACGTTCTTACGAATAATTTCAATAATTTTTTAACTGAATTTTCTCAAAAACAATATTACTTATAAAAATATTATATTTCATATACTTGAATTATTTTCTCACGTCAGATGGGACGAGCACGTGTGAATCTCCACAAAATGTGGCGCGTATTTTTCCAATATGGCGTCGCCACTTTTTTCAAACACTAGTTTCAGTTCCTTTTTTCTAAAATATTAAATTGTATTGTTCTTTGTAAAGAAATTTAACTTGATTTCTGATCTAGTAACATAAAGTCTAACTTGATTTTATTATTGTAATAAGTGCAAACTCTAAAATTGTTCATTAATCGTAAGTAAAATCAATCCCTGTAGAAAAGAAAGTAAGCATTGTCAAAGATAACCTATTTCACGTTTTAAGCGCGGGAAAGTTCTTACGAATAATGTCAATAATTTTTCAATCGAATTTTCTCAAAAACAATATTACTTATAAAAATATTATATTTCATATACTTTAATTGTTTTCACAGATGGGACGAGACGGTTTCCAGTTGAATAATAGCAAACAAATTAAGATCTGGCCACGTTTCCTAAACCACAAGCATCGTTAGTCTTCCTGGCTAAAATCCTGTTGACGTTTCACGAGGTCGACGCACGTTTAGAAAACATCGTAATTATGTCAGTGTGAGTAGTGAAGCACGCCTTGTTGGCTGGTAGTCGACAGTAGTTCGGAAACGGAGATATATTCTTCTCAAAGGTGGCAAAAGTATCCATCCGTGACCATGCAACGTTCTACGTACGATTATCGATCAAAGACACATCGTAAACACGGTAGTAGTTGAAGCGTACACCCGCGGCAAACCGAGCCACTTAGCGTATGTTTGTTTAGTACCTTTTACGATTATATCGTCCGGATGGTGTACGTGTTGGTCGGGGAGGGTGGTTACATACATACATAGAAGCCAGTGTCTGGCGTATAGCTGAGGGGTTGGTCGTCGCGGCGCCGTGCTTCGAGAGGGTCATTTATAACTGTTATCGTGAGACTTACTAGCCCACTTACTACCTTCCACTGTCTATTCTCCAACCTCTCTTCTATTCTACTCTCGAGCGAGATGCAGTAGGCCACCGGATCCTGCTGGTCATTCTATCACATTTTTTTCTTTTTGTTAGGTCATCCTGTATCGCGCCAGAAGACGGTCCTTTGAGTAACGACGCCTCTGAAACCGATAGATTCTCAATGGATCCCATATTTTCGCGGCGAATCAGTTCCGCGAACGCTTGGCGCCGTTCGATTTACAACAACTTATCCTTTTGCCATCCATTTGAGCTGTATATTACATTCAATTTGCCAATGGGATGTAATTTATCGGATTCTACGCTGGACACTTTGAGGTACAAAGTAATATAGAGTTACAACATTTCAGAAAAATCTGTCTCAGATTTTTCTTCTTCCTTTTAAGTAAAACTTTTAAAGTACGTTGATATTTTAGACTAGGCTTGTAACAATGGATTAGGCTTTTGTTAAGTTAAAGGGTTAATGATTTTTATAACTTTGTTTCCTTTTTTGGATATCTTCAAATGTTATTTGAATAATGATTATTAATTTATTCTCAATACTGTAAATGGAAATAATCAAAGTAGATAGCTTCATAAAATTAGAATTTCTAAATCGATTGCACTTTATACATGCAAAATGGTCAGCGATTGTTTCATAGTTGCGAAACGAAGCAAAAGTGGGTAACAGCTTATTTCACACGAAACGTATAATTGTTGTTGGGCCAATTACAATTCCGTTTTCATTAGCTCCAGGACTTGTAACTCTAATAGTCGTACACATTGCTCTAATCCTTTGTTCTCTCTAAGCCACTTTGAGCGGCGAACTGACTGAACTGAAGGTGAACTTTTGGACTCTGTTTATCGTCTGTAATATGGTTGCATTACACAAATCTGCAAGATAACAGTGAACAAACTTTCATCCTTATTACCATAATCAGATTAAATTTTCACTGAAATATTATAAATGCAAAATATTCAGCTCAAATCGATAATCAATAGCTTAGTGTCGTGTTCATTTCAAAGAGCGTTTATGTATTTCTTTACCATTGTATATTTTTTAAACAAACCAGTGAAATGATGACTTAACTCTGCATCATATATACTGCATCATATTTTATTTGGAACAAAATCCCTGACACCGGAGTCAAAGAATGATCGATTCGGCGTGGAATGACTCCATAGTATTTTCAGAACAGAAATAGGTTTTATTTATTACAGCGAATCTCGCGTGGGTACGGTGTTACAACAGATAGTTTGTAGTTATCGGGGTACATTTCTCATTGCGTTTTTGTCCGTTGGACATGTATTTTCGGGAAGGACGGTGGGGGGGCTTGCACTTAATCCTAATATGGAAATATGTATGTCGCGCGATCCGCAAGCCGACGATTAATGCGAATAAATCGATTTTTGGCGTAGGTGTAGAACGGTTGCCGCCAAATCCTGGAAGCCACGCCAAGTGGCGGAAACACGAGAATTCCATCTGGATTTACTAAGATCAGTGCCATTTAATGTGGAGCTCGATAAATCCCTTAAAAGCTGGCGGTCCGCAAGAAGACGTCGCATTACAATTTTCCACGGGGAAGGAGAATGGCGAACGTCTACGAGGAGGCGCGGACAAATCTGCAAATGCAACGCTTCAGGTGCCAAATGCTTTCGTCGTATAACCGTGAGTAACTGTCTACTCCATATTTGCTGTCCTACATTGAACGCAATTCGATGGGGGAAAATGGACGTGTACGATTGAAATCTGCGTAAACTAGTCATTTCATGAGACACATTCGGAACGATCGATTTTAATGTATACGTGAACATATTTTAGATAGAAATTTGAATAGAGAATGCTTTAAGGAAATTGAATCGTTGAAATTGAAGAGAGACTGTAGAATGTTAGAAATCTTTCAAACTGGAGATTATTAAAAAAATTTTTATTATTTTATCATCTATGATTTTAAATGATACGTATCTATATTTATTGATCGTTTTGATATCTATTGAATTGCTTCAACTCTCTGATATATTCAATTCATTGACTAAACGTTTGCCTAATTTATTGTTCCGAATGTTCAATGTCTATTCAACCGAATAGTACAATTTTCAAAGTGTCTAATCCTCCATGAATTGCTCTGCTCAATACGTTCACTGTCACAGCATAAATATAGTATGCCATACTTCAATTAGAATTATTAAAGATATGATAATTTATTTTTTTAATTTAATTATTTAAATTGTTACAGTGAAATTTTAACTTAGATTTCGTATAGAATTTACAAATTCAAAAATAATAGTAAAATCTAGTGTTCTCAATCTTTAAGAAAATATTGTAAAGACAGTGAACGTGTTAAGAATATCTATTGTTTCTCTTGTAAATACAAAAGACGTCCTATTAGAGGACACAAAAAGGTAAGAGTATAATTTACAATCAACTTTCTGAACTGTATTTGCTGAAATGCTCAGCAAGAGCGATTTGATCCGACTTCGTTGTTCCGGATCATTTCGATGCAACTATGGTTGCTTGTTTACGATTTCCATAATTCCGTACCCTTCGTCCGTGGCAGGCTCTAAAGAGCCAATATCGAGCAAAGTAGGTGTGTACTTTAATTACTAGAGATAATTACGTCGTCACCGGCTTGGCTGAGGGATGGGAGGTTTACTATGATAACAGAGTATCCAATATCCTGGTGAGTTACGTAGACTAGCACGACACAACCCCGTGTATATGTATTCCGCACGAACGCATACCTCCCCTCTGGATGTATTTACTATCGTATGCATGCCAGTACATGTCAGTTGGTCGCGTTTGACCCCCATCCGTGATTAATATAATTACCTACCCGATTATTGTCTTACGGATGCTGCATTTAACCGCGGACGTACGAGACCGACTTCCGTATCCGTTTTGATGTTGCTTCCACCGTAGATCAGGGTTGCTTATATTTCATTCGTATAATATTTTATTCTATTCTTTATATTGAATTATAAAAGTATTGAATACTAAAAACGAAGACCTACGTACATTCATTAGTGTAATTAGGATTTTGTGGGGGTGGTTGAGATTCCTTATAAATTTTGAATTTTAGATCTTAGGATCTTAATGTTTTAAAATTTTTTAATTTTAAAATGGTGAGAAAGCAAGTCCCCTCTTGGCCTGGGAGGGCTCCTCTTGGCT